GGACTCAGCCTCCAACCTCCAAGTGGCAGTGTAACTTCTTTTCCCTCTGATGTTAATACCCTCTTTATATTCCTTTTATATCTTCCTTATAATCCAGGCTTAAAAGAAACAAAATTCTTAAATGGAGCAAAAGAAAAAGCCCCTCCAAACCAATATTATAAAAATTAAAAAAGAATTAATCCATAAGTAAAAAAAGAAATAGAAGAAAAATCAATATTTTCACTTTAAAAAGTAGGGAATACTGGTCAGTTGGCCTTTGACACGCGGGAGCACCAAAATCTGGAAGATCAGCATCCTAGTGCACATGCACACACCTGCACCTGAACGTGCAGGTCTCTGTCGTATGCATGTGCAACAGTCATTTGATTGTCAGGGGCGCGCCAGCACTGGAAACAGGAAGATCAGGTGCATGCCGGAACGCTGCTCTTCTGGATTTCAGCACTCCCACGTGCACAAAGGCACGTGGCAAGGCCGCACGGTCCAGGTGGGAACAGTTTTGCGTGCTACTTCCATCACGCAGGTCGGCACACGGTGATGTAAAAGATTAACCATCACTGTTCTATACAATTGAATTGAAAGCCCGATATTCCATTAATATTGCACTATACAGTACAATTCAATATAGTTACTGCCCTGGGATAGAAACTATTTTCCAGCCTATTTGTCCTTGTTTTTATTAGCCTATACCGTGTGCCAGATGGTAATAGTTCAAAAAAAGGGTGTCCAGGATGAGATGGATCTTTAAGAATGTTCTGAACTTTCTTAAGGCAGTGGGAGCTATAAAGCTCTTCCAAAGAGGGGAGAGGGTAACCAATGATCCTCTGGGCAATGGCATTGACCCTCTGGAGGGCTGTCCTATCTGTCACTGTGCAATTGGTAAACCATACACAGGTACAGTAAGTTAAAATACTCACTATGCTGCAGGGGTAGAAGGTAAACAGCAGTTTTTCATTCAGTTCTTATTTCCTGAGAAGTCTCAGATAGTATAATCTCTGCTGGGCCCTTTTGACCAGTGCTGCAATGTGAGCACCCCTGGTCATGTCCTCTTTTATGATAACATCCAGAAACTTAAACTGGACACTTGCTCCACTCAGTCTCCATTGATAAGCAAGAGCTGGGTTTCTGATCTATTCCTTCTATAGTCCACTATAAGGTCCTTGGTCTTATTGGTGTTAATGATCAAGTTAATATCTCCACACCATGAAAGCAACCGTTCCCACCCGGCGATTAGTCCCACCACGATTGTATCATCTGCAAGTTTAGTAATAGTATTACTAGCGTGAGTGGAAATGCAGTCATACACATAAAGACTATAGAGCCGGGATGGCGAACCTATGGCACACATGCCACACGTGGCATAGTTCTGCCTTCTCCCTGTTGCTTGTCACCTTCTTGCCACTTTCTCCCAGCAATGGACCAATTGTTTCCTTAACTTTTTTCTTGTTTTNCGGTTCAAATCTCACCGGCTCAAGGTTGACTCAGCCTTCCATCCTTCCGAGGTGGGTGAAATGAGGACCCAGACTGTGGGGGCAATATGGTGACTTTGTAAACTGCTTAGAGAGGGCTGAAAGCCCTATGAAGTGGTATATAAGTCTAACTGCTATTGCTATTGCTACTCACTCTGGAAAAGATTAGCCATCACTGCCCTAGCCTATTCTTGTTGATCCCTATAATTGTTCACTGAATCTGTGATACTGACTTCATCAAAAGGAGTAAAGAAACCTGAAAGGGTGAAAACAGTAGCATTACCAGAATTAAGGAAGGCTATTCAAGTGCTCCATCTCTCTCCCCCACCCCTAATTTATTTACTTCTTAGACAAACTTCCCTGTCTTCTCTCCCCTATCAGACACAACACGGAAACCTGACCAAAATTAATCCATTCAATGCAAGCTTGCCGGAAAAAGCTATAAATTGTTCTCAAGTTTGATAACATAAGAAAAGACAGACCACGAGGCACTATTTTTTCTATTGCAGGCCAGGTTTGTGCAATAGTCTAAGAACTTTGATTACCTCCTTCTTTAATGAGGTTGTGAAAAATGTTAAAAATTGATATTTTGATGCTTGACTGTCACCATCATCTTTAATATGGATTTTTATTTCTTAATATTATTATTGCATGGACCATGATGGTCTCTCAGAATTGGAATAGTTGTAATTTCTGTATATTTTTATATTTTTCGTGGCTGTTTTATTTTTTATTTCATTGTCTATATCTTGATGTTGAGGAAGAGAGAGAAGGAGGGAAAAAGAGTATCATAAGGTTCTTCTATAACTATTCTAACTAAATAGCATGAGTATGTGAGATGGGAAAGTCTTCATATTTCTATGAATGAGAGGTTGTCTAAGTCCTAGAATTCTATACAGTTGGAAATGGTTCCATAAAACTAAAGCTCTGAAATTGTCTTTTTTCCTAGTCATCCAAATCCATGGACAACAAAAAAGAAGTGAACAGCCCAAAAGTAAAAACAGGGCTAATGGAATTACCTAATAAACACATAACAGCTTCTCCCTTCACATGAGTATACTTCAAAGTAAAATTTTAAAACCTTTCCTGCCTCCCTTGTCATCTGACATAAACTTTATACAGTATTTACGGATCATTTAATATTGGTAACGTACATGAAAGATGGCAACACCAGAAATAAAGACAATGTTCCAAGAGTTGGCAAATAAGGGCATGGATAGATCAATAACAATGAGAATCACAAGAGCAAAGTATATGGTTATCCTTTGAAAGCCTATTTAGACCAAGCCTGACACCAATCTGAGGCTAAATAGGGCTGTTCTTAGCTGTCAGTACCTCCTGCCAGTCTTCAAATGTACTATAGCTCAGAGAGATTTCATTCCCATTTATTTGGAGAAATCCTTTTGTATAACTGACATGTCTCTACTATGATGGTTGTAACTGACCTGTGTTTTTTTTTTAATCAAGGACAAGATGTCAGAATGCATCCACATTGAATTTCTCCATCTCAAAAGCTGAGTTGGATATGGGGAAAATGGGAAATGGCTATGGAAGAATAATCTATAAAGAAAAGGAAGTATAAAAACAAAGACAGACAGATGATAGCTAGATAGATACAGAGGTGGGTTCCTACCCATTCGGCCAAACTGGTAGTGAAATGCTGGCCTTGGTCACAGAACTGGTAGTGACTGCTGATTGGCCACACCCCCGTACCAATCATCACCCTTCCTCACCTTCGCCACGTGCATCCACTGCCTCTTCCTGCCTACACACAGGTAAGCAGTGGGAATGGGGGGGGGGCAGCCCAGCAAACTTCACATGCTAGAAAGGGTGGCGGCAAAAGAAGAGGGTGGCAGGAGGACAGGTCAGTGGCCATAGCAGGAAAGGGCAGTGGTGGCGGAAGGAATAGCAGCAGCAGCGGGCAATGGCCCAGTCCCCATCCCAGCAGCAACAGCAGTGGCAGCATCCCGGAACTCCTGAGGAGTTTTCCCATGCGGCTTTGGGCAGGAAAGGCGAGCACCGCTTCTGCCAAAGACTGTCTGCCCTTCAGGTGTAGTGCCAATACCGGCTGCCTCTAATCTGCAGTTTACTCATGAGCATCATGTTCACAAGTAAATGTGGTCATGAGTAAACTGCAGATTAGGGCAGTTGGCAGATCCTGGCTTGTTCGTTTGGCTGCTCACCCCCCGGAGCTCGCAGGCAATGAACAAAACCACTGTCCTGTCTCCAAGCAGGAGAGCATGGATTTCAGGAAGTGACTGCCAGCGATGCCCTCAGCTGAAGATGTGAGTGGGGAAAGATAGATAGATAGATAGATAGATAGATAGATAGATAGATAGATAGATAGATAGATAGATAGATAGATAGATAGATAGNCTTTGTATGAGCATTGTGAGTCATTGAGAGATGATTGGCATACAGGTTTCATAAATGATTATTGCATTCGTTCAATACAGAACAAACTACATTAAAGTCATTTTTTATTGTGTTGTCCATACAGATGGTTTTACCCCACTTATGTTGGCCTCCTTTTGCGGCGGTGGCATGGAGACTGATCTGGCTGAGGAAGAGGAAGCAGATGACTCTTCTGCCAACATTATCTCAGACCTTATCTGCCAGGGGGCTAACTTGAGTGCCCAAACAGACCGCACAGGGGAGACTGCGCTACATTTGGCTGCTAGGTATGCCCGGGCGGATGCTGCCAAACGCTTGCTCGATGCTGGTGCCGACACCAATGCTCAAGATAACACAGGACGTACCCCACTTCATGCTGCTGTGACTGCTGATGCCCAAGGAGTCTTTCAGGTGAGCCTTGTCCTGGAGATATTTACTCACTCTATGAATGAACCAGTGGAGCCTTTCTCCTTCTAGAAATACAATTTTTCTGTTATTAAGAGCACAAAGGCACAGTGTCTCTTTTGTTTTAATGTGATTTCAACTGCGAATGTTGCAATCTAGTTTGTGTGCCATCTATCTGTTAACCTCCAAGAAACTCCCAAAAGTCATCCCTAGCTTTCTCAATAACCAAATAACAGTTGACTTAAATATTGTAATGTAGACAGTACTACTTTGCTATGTTGAATGACATAGTTTGCTCTTCTTCTGCCTAACACTCTTGTTAGATCCTGATCCGGAATCGATCTACAGATTTAGATGCTCGAATGGGAGATGGTTCAACTGCACTGATCCTGGCAGCAAGGTTAGCTGTTGAAGGCATGGTGGAAGAATTGATCGCCTGTCATGCTGATGTCAATGCCGTGGATGAATTGGGTATGTAATTTGCAAAATGAATTGGTTTAGTCTTAGTTTGTCTAGGTTTGGGACAAGTTACTTAACTTAACTATGTTCTATTGATTTCCACTACATTCCACTTTAGATTCTTAGGTAACCGCTTCATAACTCATTTACAAGATTACCCCAGATTGATTTAGTAAAGATGCTCATAATTCAACATATATATTTTTTAACCTTTCTAACCTGGCTACCGTTCTATTCGTTAGCTTCTTTTTTTAACACATGTTCATGAAATGTACTGCTGCAGAAGCTATACAGACAGCTGGGAGAGGGAGAGACTAGAATATGTGATAAATATTAAAAGATTTTGGTTATGAAGATGACTTGTAGTTATTAATTAGGGAGAGGGCTTCATGACCAAAATATTATGAACAATAGATTCTGCCAGTAGATGTATCCTTCCAGTCTTTTATAAATAAATTTATTAATTTTCCCCTGCAGCAAATAAATCATAGTTCTTCAAGTTTTTATTTAAGAATTTTCTTGGCCACAGATCAGCTGATTTATTGGAAGATTTTTTTTCCTGTTATCCTCATATTAGCTCATATTAAGAGCACAAAAGCACAGCATCTTTTAATGTATACAAAGCTCAGTGTTAATGGGCAATATGGAAGATGACAATCTGATTGAAGAAAGATAATTCCTTAAAATTAGGAAAAGAGGTATAGTAGAAGGCTTTTAGAAAAATCTAAGAATTACTAGCATGTGGCAAATACATTTATTCTCTTGGTATTACCAGGAAAATCAGCCCTGCATTGGGCAGCAGCTGTCAATAATGTAGAGGCTACAATTGCTCTACTGAAGAATGGGGCCAACAAGGATATGCAGGACAGTAAGGTAAGTTCTCCAGTTGCCTTTTTAAAAACCACATTAAGACTTTATCATAACTGTCCCCAAAGATGGAGCTAAGAGGAAAGGGATAGCTCCCATCTTTTCCAGTGAGAAAGCAGGGCTGTTTAGGCTTTTGTACCAGGTAGATGTATATCCACCCATCTTTTCTCCCTCTTCCATTTTGGGCTGAAAAATAATAATTTTAGTTTATACTTGTTGCAGCCTAAATGATACGCTTGAAAATATATTCCCATTTGACCTGGAGATTTCCTTTAGAATGAGTTGGTCTTGAATGTATATGGGAGCATTGAGGAGAGAGTGATTTGTACAGTCACTCACTGCTATTGATTTAAATTGGCCATTTCGACAATGCCTTCAGGGACTGTTGGCCATATTTAGCAGGGAATTCTGGTCCTCTGAGAATGTCAAACTGTTTGTCGAATGTGGTCATGAATTTGCCTTCTCTGCAACAGGAGGAAACCCCACTGTTTCTAGCAGCTCGGGAGGGCAGTTATGAGGCAGCCAAGATTCTACTGGATCACTTTGCCAACCGTGAGATCACTGACCATATGGATCGACTGCCACGTGATGTGGCTCAGGAGCGCTTGCACCACGATATTGTTCGACTTTTGGATGACTACAACACTGTGCGCAGCCCACAGGGAGTCCTGCCTGCTGGTCACTCTCTCTCCCCTCTCATGTGCCCTCCCAATAGCTTCTTACCTAGCCTGAAGCCCACTCCACAGGGCAAGAAGAGCCGTCGGCCCAGCACAAAGAATGTGACAGCAGGAAGCAGTGCCAGCCTGGCACGGGAGAGCAAAGAGGCCAAGGCGCGTGCCAAAAAGCTCAATTTGGAGTGTCAAGGCTCTCTCCTGGAGAGCTCTGTCACCCTGTCTCCAGTCGACTCATTGGACTCTCCCTATGTGCCTAACCCTGCCTCACCTGGGGTCTTTCACACTGCCAATGCCTCGATGTCAGTGCCCTCTACCCCTATGGTCCATGGCATGATGGACCCACCCTTTGCTGTCAGCCTGGCACGCCTTAGTGACCTAGGAGATGGCACTCTGCTTTCCATGAACCGCCTCTCTGTGCCACCTGGCCGCATGGGGCTGAGTCTGGGCATGGTGAGCCCTGTGGCCATGCCTTTTGAGTGGCGTGCCCGTGTTCCCACTTCTCAGTGCCAACCCATCATAGGGGTAGTCCACCCTGCTGCTTCCCATCCCAATCTGCACCAGTCTGGCCAAGCTTTCCCACCAGGATTGCTTCTGCCCAGCCACATGGCTATGGGGCACAGCTCTCAGGGCTTGCCCAACCCAGCTCCAGCCCAGGCCAAGGAAGCTCCCCAGCCAATGCCTCCGCCACCAGCTGCTGTGCGCAGTAACCAACCTGTCTCACCCCAAGAGGGCCAGGGTCAGGTGGCACCACCACGCGGAGGGCCCCCACCATACCTGAAGGCAGCAGGGGTAGAAGATTATCCAACCCCACCATCGCAGCACAGTTATACGCAGGGGCAGGACGCAACACCCAAGCACTTCCTTCACCCTCCCAGTGAGCACCCCTATCTGACTCCTTCGCCAGAATCCCCAGAGCAATGGAGTAGTCCCTCGCCACATTCCTTATCTGACTGGTCTGAATCCACACCCAGCCCAACTGTATTAGGGCCAAGCCACACCCAGCTTCCTTCGGCAGAGCCCTCCGCTAAAATGCAGGTGTTTGCATGAGGCACTTGTTGTGAAACACATCCCAGAGGCCTAGGTCCCTCTGTGGCCCCCATTGGGGCCTGTGCCAGCCTTGGGGTTCTCATTCCCCCATAATTGTGTTTTTATAAGAAAAAACTAAAGTGTAAAAAGTTTTTTTTAAAAAAAATGCCTGATGGAGGAGAGGAAAGGATGGCCTCATCATTCCCACACTGCCATGGAGCTCAGGACAGCCCTTTCTTCCCCTCCCATGTTGTCTCATCAACTAGTTTTTGGGGAACCTTTTTTTTTTACAAGAGATCTTTTTGTATAAACCTTTCATTTAACTCTTAAGCTTTTTTATTTTTTTTTTACAATGTATTCAGTATCAGATCCTGTTGCGTGCCACTCTTCTTCCTCCGGGTCTAGGGCTGTAAGGAAGGGAGAGAATTGTATCCCTTGTGTTCTTCCTTGGAATGGTTTTGTCTTTCGGGCTGAGCAGCCACCTCCCCTCCCAGCATGTTGGGACGGGACTCTGCTCAAGGTATTTGTGTACTGGGTACGCAGCATTAGCTCACTGGCACTGCCGTCCAGAGGATCGAGTCACAATCTTGCCTCTGTCACACAGGGATCTAAGCCCCACAGCTCCATCCTCAAACTTGGCACTTCGTCACATTCCAGGTTAATTTATTCATCTTAAATCCTGCTGCACTCCCCATCTTCCAGTCCCCACTCCACCTCCTGAGTTCTTTCTCCTAATGCTAGCAATAGTCCTGGCGACTTTCTAGTCTCCAGAGTATTTTGAGCCACTCTGTATTTTTATACCTGACCCTCTTTTGTCACCCCTGGATCTTATCTAAGGCTGCCTTTGACCAATCAATGTCACATGTTTTGCCCCTGTGGTACTATAGGATCTTGAGGCAATCACAGATACAAGGGCTTCACTTTGGCATAAAAGGTACTAAGTTAGTATAAAATACTTTTGTTTCTCGTGAAGACTTTTGGCCCAGCAGTCTGCTATCTATTTTGCTTTGTATACCCTACCTCCTTGTACCCTGTACATTCCAGTTATTCCTGGCTGTAAATATTGCTGGTGGGAGTAGTGGCAGGCAGGATCTTGTTCCCCTGGGCAACCACTGCTTTCTGCTTCCTTCTCCCTTTCCATGCTATGTAGCATAGTGGGGTAACGGCTCTGCCACTTGCCCCCCCCCCCCACCTTGCCACCATAGGACCATTTCTAGCTCATTTTGAAACTTTTTTTAAAAAAAAAAATCCAGTGTAAAACAAGTAGCTTTAAAGCAGCTGGGTGCTTTCTGTACAGAACGGCTTAAGCCGTGGCATAATAAACATAGCTAATAAGGAAACTGCCTTCCCTTCCTCTGTGTCTTTTATTTTTCATTGTTTATTTAGACTGTGTAACAATACATTAAAGAATGTACAAATGTTCCACTAACAAAAATATCGCCTTGTTTTCTTTCCATCCGAGTCAATTCAGAGTACCAACAACAACTGTCATTCCACTACAAGACTATGGCTATTCTCTGGCTGGTTCGGTATGAACATAAACATTTGGACAAAAACTTTAAAAGAATAGGCCAACTCTTGAGTCAATATTCCATTGTGAGAGATTGCAAAGAGTGAAGCACTTAGACAGCCTGCATAATTTAAATTAGAATGATTTGAACTTTTCCTTCCCAACAGAGATTTTTTCCACATTCATTTTCTACTACTGAAATATAGTAGCTATTATGTCTTGCATTAGGCTTCCATTGGGGGTGGGGGGAGAGGTGTGGTTACACATGTTTGGGTCCCCCCCCTGTGTTGCAGCTGTTGAGCTTCCTCAGTATATTGTGCAGAGGTAAAACAAATAGTATTGATCAAGTTTCTACCAGAAAAATATCTTCAAGAAATCGAGTGCACAACATACATAAAAACAAAAGATGTAAAGAATATTTGAAAAATAAATTTGATGCCACAAGACAAACTATTTCTAATAAAATATTATTCTTAATGTTTTTTACTGAAAACATTCACTTGAATTTTTAACTGCCTGACTCCTTCGACTCAGTACACCACAAGTGAACCAATACATATCTATTTTTAAGAAAACGGTTCATACTTCCAAAGCAAGCTTTTTGTTTGAAATTTACAAAGATTAAACTTTTTATGGTATATTCATCTAAAGCAGAAAAATCAGTGGCAGCACCACGCACGTCCTTTTGCATTGTTAAAAAGACAAAATAAGACACTTTCTTTTACAACCTAAATAATGTAGCAGTACGGTTCATTGCAGGTTCAATTTATTGCAACGCCTACTTTTATAATTTAAACATGATTTCCCACCATCCTGCCAGAGCTGAAGAAGCTTCTTAGATGAGAAGCGAAATACCTTCAAAAGAAAAAACAAGAAAGTCTAGTTGCCTCCTGAAAAAGCACTGGGACAACCATGGCCTGAGTGACTGAGAATCTCTACAGACTTTTAAACATGATCCATGTACTTGCTGAAATTACTGTTCAACAGCTTTCATACTTTCTGTCCCATTTTTCCCTTCGGCACACATTAATTTGTAAACAAGACAGCCATTGAAATCTTCTAGCAGCCATCAACCCCCAGGCTGCAACCCTGTGCTGGGTCCACAGTCCATTCATAAATGGGCCACAGAAGAGAGGTGTGTGTGCTTGTGTACTTGTGTAAAGCTGCATTTGTGAAAGTGGCACATGTGCAAAACTATCCCCTCCCCTCCCCCTACCTCTGCCAGTCAGCCAAGCCGGAAATTTTGGAGATGAAGAAAGTCTCTGAAGTGGAGCGTGGGAGGAGTCACAGCTGGGTATTAATATGGCCCATTTGCCCAGAGACTGAGGTAAATCTTGAGGCCACACCTCTGCTCCTCCTCCTGACCCCCCCAGATTAACCTCAGTCTTTGGCCCAGAAGGAGTACTTTCCTGACTGTCTTCGATTTGAAGACTTCTTACCTTTCAGCTGTTTTTTTGACTTCTGACCAACTCTCCTCACTCGTGGCTCTCTAATTGCTAGCTTTGCTCAGGCGGTGCTTGCTGCGCTAGTGGAGAGCCTCCGAGTGGCTGGGCGGTCGTGGGGGGGAGGCTCCAGGCTGCACGCTGCAGGTGCTGCTTGGCACAATCCCCGAGGAGTCACAGCTGACAGAGGATCGCAGGAAGCCCCGAGGGATGGCAGAAGACAACCGATCGGAACCGGCAGATTCAGACCACATGTTCGGTGGTTGCCATCTTGAGAGGAGCACGTGAGTGGAGTGTGTGGTTGGTATGCCTGGTTACGAACAACGCGGGTGCTCAGAAGCCACCACTGGAATCCGGGAGGGAGTTCCTTGGGCCTGTGCTCCGCCAGTAATCCAGGGAGAGCCCAGCTGTTTGGTGGTGGGCTGGCAATCGTGCCACAATCGGTGACTCACTTGGGAACCCTTAAAGGCGCAGGATGCGCAGTAAAGCTGAAGCCGGCAAAACAGAAGCGTGGTGGTGAGCGTGACCGTGAGTAAGGATTATGATAGAGGCCACGAGGAACGGGGGAGTGGCTGTCCCTAGATCTCCAGGGGACTTTGATCTGGGTGAGGGGGCCTCCAGGGGGTCCCCCAGTCACCAGGGGGAGGTCTAGCTCCAAGAAGAGCATATCTAAGGCTGCAAGGAAGGAGATCCCTAGCAGGGAGGTGGGGACCACCAGGGTGACCAGGAGGAGGGCTGGGGACACCATCAGCCCTTCTCCTTCCAGATTTTGCTCCCCTCGCAGGCTTTCCACGCTGGAGGAGGTCCAGCATGAATCCCTGGGATCTCCCGGAGGGTCTAGCAGAGGGCAAAGCTCCTTATCACCCCCTCTATCACCTGCACACCCCTTGGGGGCACGGGGGGTCTCTTCAGCCGCAGAGCCTCTAGTCCCACTAGGCATCATTTAGTGCCACAATCGCCAGCCCCAGGGATGACATTGCAACCCCCTGACCTTTCCGTTTATCCAGTGCTTCCTGAAAGCTTTCAGAATGTTTTAGCCAGAGCCATCGCGCAAGGGATCGCCATGGGGATGAAGCACCAGTTCCAGGGCTCTAGGAGAAGGTTGTCAGCACCTCTCCATTTAGTAATTAGGAAAGAAGACCATGAGACTCCATTTGTAGGAAATCAAATGTACA